ATGCCGTCCCCCATGATGTACTCAAACCCTTCCAACAGGAGCCCGGGCAAGCCCTTTCCTGAGTTGTTCTTCCGTTGCTGATAGGATTCCTTCCTATTGCAGTGATGGGGAGCAAGTCCCGGACCTCGCACATGGCGGGCTAGCAACCTACCCCTGAGCTATGGCTCCACCCTTCCTCCATTCATCTATAATGAGATGATGTGTAGCTCCACACACTGACTATTCACGGCAGAAGACTGCTGAGGGTTTGGTTGCTCTAGTTTTGTGAGCCGTGGCATGGCTTTAATGCCATCTGTGAGGGTTGCACATGCGGCCCTGGCAATTATAAGGGATTAAAGCCTTGATCTTAATGCAGGCATTCTGAGGAGGTAATCAGCCAGAAGCAAAAGTTTAGAATATCTTGTATTAAGCTCTAACAGGCTGCCCGCCTCACCCAGTACTTCAGTTGTCAATCAAGAAGCAGAGCTGGTATGGTTCCACCTCAGAGAAGAAAGGCGTTACGTACAAGCACTGAAGGCGGCTTCTCTGGGGCACGAGACGCAGCCATAAAGCAGGCTCTGAGCAGGTCCTCCTGTCACAGTCCAGTGGCTCTGGAAAATAAGTCATGCTATCCTCCACAGCTGGAGAACTGCAAGACCATCTTGTATGCACCTAATCTTTGCACTCGGTAGTTCTGGGGATTCTAGAACACATCTAACTAACAAGGGGCCCATCCTCATTCTTGTAGCTAATGTCTTCATGGAAGTGGAGGGAAACAAGCTGTAGTTGTAATGGGGACCCATGAAGCCCATCATGACCAGAGCTGAGAAAACCTTCCCACAAAGTATTGTGGCTCTTGCAGAACACATACCCAATGGGGAAGACTAAAGAGGGAAGGCTGAGCAAGACCCACCTCTGTTTGTACTAAAATGAAGGCACACTTATCATTACAGCAGAGGCCAGGCAGAACACTAGCTAAGATTTCCAGTTTTCATCTTCACAAGACAAAAAATCAATACAAAATTCAAAGACCAGAAATCCACGCCCACCCACAATAGATTCTTCCTCAGCACTGATCTTCAAAATGTTTTATATTTACAAGTTCTGCCCCTCCCTCCTTCCCTTCCCGTGTGTGTGTGTGTGTGTGTGTGTGTGTAGCATACTATGCTGTGTATGTGCCGTGGTGTGCAAGTGAAAGGCAGGAGACAATTAGCAATCGTCAGTTCTCTCCTCCTACCGTGTGGTCCCAGGAATCAAAATGTGGTCATCAGACAGGCTTGGTAGCAGGTGCCTTTATTCAGTGGGCTGTCTTTTTTACTTTTTTTTTTTTAACTTGACACATCCTTAAACATATCTGGGAACTTAACTGAGAAACTGTTTCTACCGACTTGGCCCCTGGGTATGTCTATGGGGCATTTTCTTAATGATCAACCCAATGGGCAGTGCCACTGCTGGGCAGTTGGTCCTAGGTTGTATAAGAAAACAGGCTAAGCAAGTTGCCATGGAAAGCAAGCCAGTAAGCAGCACTTTGCTGTGGCCTGGGCTTCAGTCCCTATTCTAGGTTCTTGCCTTGGCTATCCCAGATGATGCTATCCCAGATGATGCTACCCCAGATGATGCTATCCAAGATGATGGACAGCAAAGTGTAAGATGAAACACACCCTCTCCTCTCCAAGTTCCTTCCAGTCAGTTTTCACCACAGCGACAGAAAGCAAAGTAGAACCCATCTCATCAGCCCCTGTGCTGATCACTTTAAGCCCCTGGCTATGGTTAAGCAGGTTACAGAATGGAGGCAGAGTCCATTGATGGGGAATTAGGATCTCCTGTCAATCAAACAGAAGGTCACAGTCGTTACCAAGTGCCAATAGATTAATGTCAATCAAACCACACACCTGTCTGTAACATGAGCTCACCTTTCTTTGATGGACATGTATGTCGGGTGCCTGTGTCGCTAAAACCTTTACACATTTTAAAAATAGAAAACCATGGAAGATTAATTAATTAATTAGTAACTATGACAAATCTCTTGGGTGAAATATGAAATTGAGAGAGAGAGAGAGAGACGGAGAGAGAGAGAGAGAGAGAGAGAGACTGAGACTCAACTGGGCACAGGATACCCACAAAACACAAGCCCACATTGAGGGGGAAACTCTGTGTTTATCCCCTCCTGCTTCCAACTTTGTTTGGAAGACCTTCCCGTTGGGGGCAAGCGCAGAGCTTGCTCTCCTCTAACTCAGAGGATCTGAATTAAAAAGGGGAGGATCTTGATGCCAACGTTATCTGTCACAGGATGAAAGTGGGAGACCCGAAGAGAAAGTGATTTGCTCGGAGGTGACAAACTCATTGAGTGCACGACAGCACAAAGCCGGCATGAAAGCTGAGCCCCACCTTAGCACTGAGCTGCCAGTCACACAATGCATGATGGGAGCCTCTGACCTGCTCCCTTTATCCCAGCTCAAGAGGTCGTTGTAGGATCATGGCGATGGGGGGGTTGCCCTTTGACCTTTTGCTGGTCAGGAGAGATGCCTTCACACACACACACACACACGCACACACACACACACACACACACACACACCACTGCATAGACAGATGCTCTTGACTTCCTCCTCTGCAAATCCAGCCCCTGTGCTAAGACCTGCCATCTTTTCTACCTGAATGCCTAATCAGCCTTCAGGGCCAGATTTAAAGTACAAAGGCTATGTGCCTCTGTGTGTGTGTCTGTGTGTGTCTGTGTGTGTGTGTGTGTGCCTGTGTGTGCCTGTGTGTGTGTGTGTGTGTGTCTGTGTGTGTCTGTGTGTGTCTGTGTGTCTGTGTGTGTCTGTGTATGTCTGTGTGTGTCTGTGTGTGTCTGTGTGTCCGAGTGCCATGCATGCACACACGTGTATACACACAGACAGATGTGTTCACATACAAGCAGTGTGTGTGGAGGCCAGAGGCTAGCCTATCACAGTGTCTCCAAGAGCCTTATTTTGAATGAGTCTCTCCCTGAATCTGTAGTTCAGCTTCAGCTAGACTGGCTGGCCACAGAGTCCTGGGGACACACCCATCTGTCGCTATACCTCAGTCTGCTTTACAGGCTCACACACTGCCACACTTGACAACCACTAAGGGCAGGCACCATGGTGGCCCTACTCTGATTTGCTTTAGTGCAGGTGGCATTCAGTCTTTATCTAGCACTTGGTGAGACGCTGGAGCCTCCTGCTCCCGAGTGTCCGTCAAGTCCTAAAGAAGTCACGCAGTTGTACAGACATTCAAGTGTGAGCAACTATGAATTACGGGACACAGTGCCCTACACTTCCAGGTGGACAACAGGACTACAAAGTAAACTTCACCATTCCCTCTACCCAGATCAGGACACAGAGGCCCAGACAGCTCCTGTCATTTCTCCACAGTCACTCAGCAAATAGGCTCCAGAGTCACAAGCAGAACCAAGTCCAAGACAACAAATCTACCTACACTTAGAGCTATTGACCTGCAAATTATAATGATCCTAAGACATACGAATGACCTGTTAATTTAACATAATGAGGAATGCTCAAAAATCACTTCACTACCTTTCCAATGATATTTAATTTTATACATGAATTTAGATATGTTTAAACATGTACAACCCAAAATGCCACCACTAAGCAAAGGATGGCCAGCTACCTGCCATCGGCAAGGCTGGGCCTTTTCTCGGGCTGCTCTCATGTGAGGAGCATGGCTCTACTCATGCTCTGTGAGGAGAGACTCTGGCTGCATATGGAAATGAATCAACACACAGCTCACCCTAACGCTGACGCCAGAGTCTAGACACAAAGAGCAGCCAGAACAGAGGTTCAGGAGCAAGAGGCTCCAGAGAACAATAGGTACCCCACAGAAGAAGCGTAAGGGGAAGGACTGGAACCCAGGAGAGGAGTGACCATCAGCCTCTTCTGTGCCCTGAAATACTGTCACCTAGACCCTAGTGCGATCCCAGGAGTCTGAGGGATTCCTGACGCTCAGGGATGTCTGAATCTCAGGGTAGGCTACAGTTCACCTAGGGGGCTGCCCACCAGCCAACACGTCATGTTGCCATCAAGATTCAAAATATACAAATGTGGGCTCCTTACAAAAGATTCTGGTCCTGAATGCCTGGAAGCTGAAAACAGTGAGCTTCCCTTGCAGCAGCAGCAGCAACACACCGCACCAAGTTTCTTCTAATGGCGACCTGCCAGGTGTGGTGCTGCACGGCTGTGATCCTAGCTGGATCACAGTGAGACCCTGTTTCAAATTACCAGACAACGCAATAGCACGCATGAAGCCCAAAGGAACAAACACCTATCTCAACGGCTCTCGCTGCGATGGAAAGACAGCTAAGGCAGTAAGTGCTTCACATTCAAGCAGAGGACTGTGAGTTCAATTCCCAGAACCCACATAAACACCTCAAGTGTGACAAGCTTTGTGTCCTGGGCCTTGGGAGTTCAGGGTAAGAGACCAGACAATTCAATGAGCCCCTGCCTCCGCGGACACACAAATGCACGTGTGAATTGAAGAATTTTTTTAAAAAAAATGCTTTCTCAACATCTCTGGGTGCCTCTCACTTTAAGTGCTGTTTGCTCCTCTCCTTTCTGAGGGGGAAATACAGAAACAAACAAAGGCAGCTGCAGCCATCCGGAACGTGGGCGGTTTCTCCTTGTGACGAAGCCATCAAACCCGTATGCCAACTGCCCACTCAAGTGTTTTAAAGAAGAAGAAGAAACCAGCTTCGGTGGGGAGAGTCTCTCATTCTTACCTCCCCCTAAAATCACACAAGGGAAACAAGAGGAAGACCACTTCCCCTCCCCACCCCAGCTGTAGGCCCTTCTTCTGGGAGCATCAGTGGTCTCCTGAGTTGCAGGAGCCTCCCCGGGTCACACCCACACTAAGAAGAGCAGGTTCTTTTAAACACACGCTTAGGCTAAAAACATAGCAGTTGCCAACTTGTTAGCAGATAGCTGGTTCCTCTGAAGAGCCCCCTCCCTGTCCCCACGACACGCAGTTATGCACGCTCAACTCACCTCCCTCAGCTCCAGCCTCTGGGCCACCGCCTCAAGGCACTCTTGCCCCGTGCTTTCCACCGACAGCGTGCACTCGATGACATTGCTGTCCAGCAGGCGGATCCGAGTGACAAAGCAGTTCTTGCTCAAGACATTGTAACGCCGAGTTCTGCGGAGCTTCAGGCCGAAAGGCATGGCTCTGCGGCCCCGGGGACACCGCCCTCCTCTCCTGGCACAGGCACCCCTGAGATGGCCTTAGCAGTTCTGTGTTGGGGCGGTCACACTAAGGTATAGGAAAAGGTGTCCATGCCCACCAGGCTCTCTGCAGGACAGCTGTGGAGGAAACAGAGAGTTTGATCATGCACTCTGCATGGGAAGCTGTCACTGCTGCACAACCACACACGCACACACACACACTCAACGCGTGCGCACACACACAGACACATGCACACAAGCACCCAGTCAGAAGGAGAATCAGATTCAATCACCTTGGAGTCCTAAAGCCTTGTTGGAGACTATGCATCTTCTCACTCTCTCTCATCAAGGTGACATTAGAAGACCCAGGAGGATGAAACCCATCACAGATACACAGCACCTCCAGACTCCAAGGTACCCCATACCCAGTCCCATTTACACCACCATCCTCTCGGGGACACTCTCTGCATGAGGAGTGGAACTGGAGGAGTTTGAACTGCTCAGAATCTTCTCTTGCTCAACTTCACGGGGAACCACACGAGATAAACTTCACTAGGCTTTTATACTGAGGAGGGGCTGGTGAGATGGCTCAGTGGGAGAGGTGCTTGCGGCCAAGCCTGACAACCTGAATTCAATTCCCAGAGCCCACACAGCAGGAGAGAGCTGACTCCCACGAGCTGTCCTCTGACCTCCACATGCATGCCCTGTCATACACACGAGCACATGAACGCAGTTACAATAAATAAATGTACACAATAGAAAATGACTGTGCAGGTGAAAACCAACATGGCGAATGCTGAAACCTCAATCGACTAAAAACTTCATCTTGTTTCTGCCCTTACAAACACTAAGTTTTCAGAGCCGTTTTTTACCTTTTAATACTTTGTAGCTGTTTACTTAAACATATGATGCAAAGGGTAGCAGCTTGCATTTAACAGAGATGCTTTCTACTCCTTCCTTTACAATACAGAATTTTCATTGCCACCTTTAGTTTGGTGCTGGGGATCAAACCCAGGGCCTTGCCCCTGCTAAGCACACATTCTCCCTGTGAGCTGTATCCCTAGTCCCTAAGATATGTAAGTTCTTTCATGTACTCCAAAATCTTACTCTGTGTTCCTTTTCCTCCACAAATATTTTGAAAGCTGTGTGGAACCACCCAAATGTGGTCCCGTTCCTTTACAGATGACTCGGTGCGAAAGTCCTGTCACCGATTACAGATTAGTTAACCCACCAGTTAATGAGACTGACACTCTGACGTCTCACCAGTGTGGCAAACACAAGCATCAAACAGCAAGCAAAGGGGCTTTACCGTTCCACCCTGAGCCAGCCGTGTTCTGGTCAGGAGGCGCAGGAAACGTCTTTCAGGAAAGTCAGCGACGTGCAGTGAGCTTTTCCATCCAGCTGCCTGCTCCCACTAGGCTCAGGGGACGACTAGGCTGGCAGCTGTGTTAGCTCAGGCAGGTGCATGCAGGCTTAAGCCCTTCATCCATCCTGACAGAGTGCTGCCCCTGAGCTCCACTGACTCCTGAATGGGCGAATCTGAGCCACTGGCACCTGCAGGAATCCTCGAGCTGTCTGTGATATTTATATGCCGCTCCCTGCCAGAACCCCAGGCCTCCTGAAGGTTGTCAGGGTATAACCCTACAACACACCAAAACACACTCCCAGCCTCCCTCGGTAGGCTTTGATACTTGCCCTCGGCACATTCCTGAGCATGGCAGGTACATGTTTTATGATAGCTTAAAATACATATGGCTAGAAATGCTGGCTTGGTAAAATAGATTAACATTTCTAAACCACTTTATGTTGGCAGAGTATCATGTTTACTTCCAAGCCACGCCAGTCTGATCTCCTGATAGGGACAGAAAATATGGAGGGACCCACCCAAAAGGGGGGGGAGGGGAAGAAGAGAGGAAGCCAGAATATCCTTAAGTGTTTACTGACGAATTCCCTCTACTCACTGAAGCAAAGGACAGGTAGGCTAAGATTCGATGCCTACATTAAGAAAGCCTTAAACAGACAGAAATGTTTGCTCGGTAGACACCAGCTGCATTTCTCTTCCTGGGCCAGACACTTTACATTCGGGTGTGTCTCCCTTAAACACCTATGAAAGAATGTGGCTGGCTTGGTATCCCAGCAAAAACAATCTCCGAATATTCTCCAGCATGACACAACGCACAGATGGTGAAATAACCATCGACTCCCCAGCCGAGTGTGTGGATAACCGTAGTTCTTATAAGGGACAGAACGTACACACAGCAAATAATGTAAGTCCAGCAGTCATTTTCCCGGGCTCCTGGTGACGAGGAACGGAATTCTGTATTTTTCCAAACCACTTTCAACCACCTTGTGGACCACCTCCAAAACAGCCTTCAGACGTGTCAATAGTCACAGCTAACAAACAACCTGACATCATGGACCCTAGAAAATATCTATTTCACTTTTTTATTTTTTAACAATCCTGATCTTTGATTTGCAAGATAAGGTCTCAACAATAACTCCAAGAAAACTAGTCGGAACCTTCGGCAAGTCGACAACTAAAAACCAAGTGTCAGATGGGAAAGCTGCCTCCCAAGCAGAGAGTGGAGAGATTAAGAAAAATAAAAGGTGCTGTGTTGAGGCTGGAGAGATGGCTCAGCGGCTAAGAGCACTGGCTGCTCTTCTGGAGTACCTAGGTTCAATTCCCAGCACCTACATGGCAGCTAACAACTCTAGCTCCAGTTCCAGGGGATCTGACGCCCTCGCACCAATGCACAAAAAAAAAACCAAAATTAGGTAAATTATTTTTTAAAAAAATGGTAAACAAGGAAAAAAAAGGCGATGTTTTTGTTGTTCTTGATTAGATCCTGTTTGACAGTGAGGGTGGGGAAACCTAGAAAAGATAGGAGGCAATTAGGGGAATTTGAAATAAAAAAAAAAGGAATGACATAATATTTGTAAATCACTGTTAGTTTTCTTGTGTTTTACTGTGTGTACGGGGTGTGTGTGTACGTGTGTAACATCCATGTGTGTGTGCATGCATGAATTCATATGTGTGTGCATGCATGGATGTCTACTTACTGTGAAGGTCAGAGGACAACACCAAGCACCTTCCTCAGTCACTCTCTGCCTTATTTTTGTTTGTTTGTTTGAGACAAGTTTTCTCACTGACTATAGAGCTCAGGGATACTTAAGTCAACTGGCCAGCAAGCCCAGGGACCCTCCTAAGGGGACCACTGATCTTTTCACCTGGGTCTGGGCATTAAACTCAAGTCTGTAGACCTAAGGGCAAGCACTTCCCTGAGTTGTCTCCCCAGCCCCAACTCTCAGTGATTTCAGATGGTGGAACTGTCGCTATGAGAGAGATCAGGAGCTCTATTATGAGTCAAAATGTCAGGATGAAGGCTTGAGAGATGGCTCAGCAGTTAACAGCACTGGTTGCTCTTGTAGATGACCAGGGTTCAGTTCCCAGCACTCACATGGTGGATAACAACCAGCTGTAACTATAGTCCAGGGCGGGGAACTGATGTCCTCTTCTGGTCTCTGTGGGCACTGTAGACACACGGTGTACAGACATACATGTAGCCAAAACTCCCGTACATATAAAATAAAGGGGAAAAAACCTTTAAATATCATTATGCCTGTGAGTTCTTAAAAAAAAAGAATTATTTATTTTATATATGTGAGTACACTGTTGCAGTCTTCAGACACACCAGAAGAGGGCATTGGATCCCATTACAGATGGTTGTGAGCCACCATGTGGTTGCAGGGAATTAAACTCAGGACCTCTGAAAGAGTGGTCAGTGTTATTAACTGCTGAGCCATCTCTCCAGCCCACCTGTGATTTTTAAATGGTATGCATATGTTTATGTATATATGTATACACTGACAGACACATGGTGCACACACATGAGCACATATACATGGATTCAGAGCTGGAACACTGCTGACAGCAGTTAGGTGTGAGCAACAGCATACAGATGCTATCAATGCTCTGCTTCTCTGCGAACCTAAATGCTTTCACAACAAAAAGACGACAGAGAAAAGGCGTGCTGTGTGGATGATGTGCCAGTACAAAGTCTGTAGGGAAACAAAGGCAACTGGAGATAATCACACAGAAAACCAAGCGCTCCCAGGAGACGTGGGAGGAGCTGCTAAGCTGCTGGGGGAGGGGCAACAAAGGGGACTGAGGGAAGTGGGGAGAAAATCTGCTCAAAGTACACCACACACCTGCATGAAAATGGCCTTATATAACCCATCACAATGACACTGAAATGTGCTCTAAGAAAGAGAGGCAAGAAAAGAGTATTCACACTATTTAAATGGGTTTTTTTTTTTAAAAAAAACAGGAACTATTTTTAACCCATTAAAAGAAACTTTTTAATTAATTTATTTATTTTTAAGAACACAGTGGGGGCTGGGGATGTGGCTCTGGGGGGTAAAGTGTTTGTCATGCAGGCGTGAGGATCTGAGCCAAAATCAGCAGAACCCATGTAAGGCCAGGCATGGTAATGCTCACCTGTCAAACCCTAACCGAGATGGGAGTTGGGACATGACTATCCCTAGACGCTCTCAGGCAGCGAGCCTGGCACATGCAGTTGGGCAGCAAGCCTGGCACATGCTGTGTTGAACCACAAAGAGTCCTTGTCCCCAAACAAGGTGAAGGGCAGATGCAATGGCTGAGATTGTCCTCTTCACACTAGTGTGTGCATGTGCAAACCTTCACTAAAATGCATAAACACACATACACACACACACGTGCAAGTGCACATGAACACACATACACATGCATGCACACATGTACACACATGCATACACACACAAGCATGCATGCACATGCTCCTGCACACACGCACACACACACACACACACAAATTACAGCTATTTAAACTATGGGTTCCTGGAATAATGACCTGTCAATGCCAAGCTCAGTCATTCTTGCCTCAGCCCCAGGCCTGGGTTCAATATCAATTCTCTCTACTATAAAGACATTTAGAAAGCCACTATTCAGTAAGCTGCACAAGTTCCCCTGTGGTTCCTCTCACAGGATGCTAGGTACACACACACACACATACACATACACACACACACACACACCAGTCACATAGTTTGCACACAGGCACTTTACTACCTAAACAGCCATGTAGAGAAAGTCCTTT